GTCTACCACCCACTCTCACCCTTCTCCACCTCACCCTTTGACTTGGGGCTTGACCTGGCCAGCACCAGCTCCATGGCCACAGCTGAGAGCGGCACCCAAACCCCAACCAGCGGCCCTGGCACCCCCTCACCTCTGGAGAGCTTCAAGCCCTTCCCAGGAATGCGAGCACGCAAGAGCTCCAGTCTCTCCAATGTCCTGGATGAGAGCAGCTACCAGGACGTGCTGCCCAGTGACAACATCTCCAACACCAGCAATCCCCAGGTGAGCCCCGAGCCATCGTGTCCACCATGTGGGATATGCTGGGCACCTCTCACCCTTCTCCTGCTTTGGCAGCAAACACCTGAGGAGGAGCTGTGCAACCTCTTGACCAACATCATCTTCTCCGTGACGTGGCGCGGGGTGGAGGGCTGGGACGACACGGCATGGAGGGAGCGTGGGCAGGTCTTCTCCGTCCTCACCAAGCTGGGGACAGCGTGTGAGCTGGTGCGGCCTCCTGATGAGATCAAGCGCAGGTGAGTACTGCACAGGTCTGGGTGGGTGTATCCCAAGGAAAGACCATCCTGTGGAGCCACCTGCTCTCCCCCAGCCTGCTGGAGATGATGTTGGAGTCGGCGTTGACAGACCTGAAGGAGTCAGGACCATCTGCCCTGCCTGGGCTCACCCACAATGCCCTCAAGCTGCTGCGGCTGCTCCAGGACTTCCTGTTCTCCGAGGGACACAACAACCAGGCCCTGTGGAGTGAGAAGGTGGATGGGCACAGGGGGGTCCTGAAATAGTTTGCCCAGGGAGGTGGTGGAGTCAACATCCCTGGAAGTGTTCAAGAGGCATCTGGACCTGGCACTGGAATATATGGTTTAGGGTTTAGGGGTCACAGCAGAGTGACTTGATGATCTTAGAGGTTTCTTCCAACTTGATGATTCTATGATGCTATCCCAAACCTGATTCCTGACCCTAAACCCAGCCCTACCTAGGGAGTTTGAGCCTAAGTTTAGGAAATACCTCGGCCTTAATCCTAAACTGTGAATCAGACCCTAATCCTAACTTTAGGAAATAATCTCAGCCTTAATCCTAACCCATAACCAGTAAATCAAAACCTAATCCTAAACCTTAGCCCTAGCCTTACTTCCTTGCCATAAACCCCAGCTCTAACCCTTACCCTACACCCTTGCTGTGCAGCCCAGTCCTACACCCCAAGCCCTAAACCTGGTTCTAAACCATAACCCCAATCCTACAGCCTTACCATGAACCAAATCCGCACTCTAATACTATATGATGAGATCTAACGCTATCCCTAGCTCATAACCAGAAAGCAAACCCTAACCTTGAGCCTAAACTCCAAACCTAAACTTTAGCCTTAACCCTTTCTGTAAACCCAAACCATAACCCTACACCCTGAAGCCATCATCCTGACTCATAACCACACCTCCTAAATCCAAATCCTAAAATCTAACCCTACATCCTTATCCTAAACCTCAATCCGAACCCCAATCCTAAAGTTTAAGACTTAATCCAAACCCCTCATCCTTAACCATATACCTTTGCCATAAATCCAGGATGGTAGTCCTATCCCTAAAGTTTAACCCTGACTCATAACCTGTGATCTAACTGTGCCTCCTAAACCCTAGTCCTAATCCTTAACCCCACATCCTTGCCTGAAACCTCAACCCTAACCCAAATCCTAACTCTATAAACCTTAATCCTAACCCCTAATACTAAATTTTAACCTTAAATCCTTACCCTAAATCCAACCTAGCCTTATACTCTAAATCCTAACCTTAGCTCTAAATATAACTGTACCTCCTAAATCCTAATCCTAAACTTTAACTCTGCATCCTTGTCATAAACTCCAACCTTTACTCCTAGTCTTAACCCTGGCCCTGCACCCTGACTGTTAAACCTAAGGCCTAATCTTAACTCTTAAATCTAATCTTAGGTCCTTGCTGTAAACCAAAACCTTAAACCCTGGTCTTAACTCATAACTGTAATCTAACTGTACCTCCTAAAGACTAATCCTGAACATTATTCCTTCATCCTTATTGTAAAGCTCAAGCCTAACCCAAGTCCTGTACCTCAGACCCTCGCCCAGTCCTAATCCTTACCCCGACCCTACACCCTTCCCATAAACCCTGAGCCCCAACCTCATGCCAAACCCAAATTCTTTCATCATGAGGAGTATGAGTTGAGTCTGCCCTATCCCAAACCATAATCCTAACCCCTACCACTATTCAAACCTAAAGCTGAGGGTGGTGGGGACAGATCAGGTGGCTAGAGATGGTGGTGGGGATGCATGACCAGGTATGGGGGCTCACTGTTCTCCCCCAGATCTACGAGGGGATCAGCAGTCTGCTGGACAAGCTGGGTGTCTGGTACCACCTGGCCAATGGCACCTCTGACCTCAAGGAGATGGCTCAGACAGGTCTCCGCATCCTTGTGGGCTACATCATGCTGCAGGACCCTCAGGTGGGTCACCCCTTCCTGGGGCCCTCAGGGCAGGGCTGGTGGCTCCATCTGATGTCCCATGTCCCCCCAGCTGCACTCTTTGGCCTATGTGAAGCTGCACAGCCTCCTGCAGACAGCCTCAGCCCCCAGAAAGGATGAGGCCTGCTACCTGCTGGGCAAGCTGGAGACCCCTCTGAGGCGCTCACTGGACGCCAAGTCGGAGACCTTCTCTTGGTTGGTGCCCATCATCCGTACGCTCATGGATCAATGCTATGAGACCCTGCAGCTGCAGCTCTTCCTGCCCTCACTACCCCCCACCAATGGCAGCCCCACCTTCTACGAGGACTTCCAGCTCTTCTGCACCACCCCAGAGTGGAGGAGCTTCATTGAGAAGCATGTGGGTGCCATGGGGTGTTGGGGGAGTAGCTGGATAATGGGTGTGAGGTCCTGCAAACATCTCTCATCCTGATGTTCTCAGGTGCAGCCCACCATGGCCCAGTTTGAGATGGACACCTTTGCCAAAAGCCATGACCACATGTCCAATTTCTGGAATGCCTGTTACGATGCCATGATGAGCAGTGCCCAACGTCGGGAGCAGGAGAAGGCAACCAGCCGCAAGATGTTCCAGGTACTGCCTGCTCCTCACCCCTAGGATGTCACCCGGAGGAGGTGCTCCTTATGCTGGGGACTTGCTCCTCACCCCAAGGATGTGCTCCTCACCCTAGGGACCTTAATCCTGGGGGATGTACTCTTCATCCTAGGGTTATCATCCTGGGGAGATCTTCCTCACTCTGAGGACATTGTCCTCAGGATGTGCTTCTCATCCTGGGGATATTGTTCTGAGGACGTAAAATCATCACAGAATCATAGACATGCTCCTCATCCCATGAACATCATTCCAGGGGTGTTCTCATCATCCCAGAGATGTCATTCTAGGGATGTGCTCCTCACCCTGGTTACGTGCTCCTCATCCCAGGGACATATCCTGGGGACATGCTCCTCACCTTGGGGTCATTAATCCTGGGGATGTGTACTTCATCTCATGTCATCCTTAGGATATTGCCTTCAGGAAGTGCTTTTCACCTTGAGACATTGTTCTGAGCATATGCTCCTCATCTCAGGAATGTTATCCCTGGGATGTTCTCATCGTCCTGGGCACATCACCCCAGGGATGTGCTCCTCACCCCAAGTGCATCACCCTGCGGACATCCTCCTTGCCCTCGGGATGTCACCCATGAAGATGCCCTTTGCCTCAGGGATGTCCCCAAGCCCCAGCCCTGCCATCTTCTCATTCTCCCACTCCCTTGGCAGGACCTGGTGCTAGAGCCAGTGGCCAAGCGCTCCAAGGCGGAAAACTCCCGACATTCCAACATGCTCAAGCAGGCCAACAACCACCACAACACTGTGCTGAAGCAGTGGAGGTCCCTGTGCCGCCTCCTCACCTCACCTCGCTCCGCCTGGGCTGACAGGTGAGCCCTCACCTTAGTCCCCAGGGAGGGGTGGCACAGCTGGGGGTCCCCAGGGTGTCTCACCCCCACCTGTCCCTCAGGAACCCACCAGAGGTTCACTGGAAGCTGTCGAGTGCTGAGACCTACTCTCGGATGAGGCTGAAGTTGGTGCCCAACTTGAATTTTGACCAACACCTGGAGGCCAGTGCCCTACGGGACAACTTGGGTGAGGCTGGTGGGAGTGGGACACCCAGGGGACCCCCCATGCCACAGGCAAGGGGGTGTCACCAGTTGGATGCACATGGTGGGGTTGAGCTGGGAGCTCTCATGGACAGTGTTGGATTTGGGGGCCCTTTGCAGGACTTGTCTCCCAGCTCTGGGGGGCCAGAGGGACCTGCTGACCCCTTCCTCATTTCAGGAGCTGACCACCTCCAAAACCCCACCGAGTCCCTCCCGCTTGCCATGGCCAAGGAGGCCAAGGTGAGCGAGCTGGAGGATGACCAGTTGGCTGAGGAGGACCTCCCTGTCCTGGACAACCAGTGAGTGTCCCCATCCCCTGCCATATCTCAGGCTGGAGATGTCACCCCTCACCACACTCCACTGTGTCACCCAGGGCTGAGCCCAAGGAGCAGAACCAACGAGAGAAGCTGGTGGTCTCAGAGGACTGTGAGCTCATCACGACAGTGGCTGTAATCCCCGGTCGCCTGGAGGTGACAACGCAGCATGTCTATTTCTACGATGGCAGCAGCGAGAAGGAGGAGACAGAGGGAGGTAACTCCATGTCCTGCTTGCAGTGGGTGGAGGAACCTCCCACCCGTCCATCTGCCCCAGAACCCGTTTACACTGGGTGCTGGTTGGTTTGGGATGGGCTTCTCCCAGCCGCACCTCTGCCTTGGGAATGGGGTTCTTGGTGGATGGCAATGCCTGAGGGGCTCTGTGCCCCCTCATCTCGGCAGGGATTGGCTATGACTTCAAACGTCCCTTGTCCCACCTGCGTGAGGTCCACCTGCGCCGCTACAACCTGCGCCGGTCTGCACTCGAGCTCTTCTTCATCGACCAGGCCAACTACTTCCTCAACTTCAAGAAGAAGGTGGTGACACCCTTATCCCCTCACAAACATCTCCCAGAGCCATGGCACTGCCCAAGCTCCAGTCACTCCATGTCCTGTTCCTGTCCCCATAGGTGAGGAACAAGGTCTACTCCTGCATCCTTGGCCTGCGTCCCCCCAGCCAGATCTACTTTGGCAGCCGATCACCCCAGGAGCTGCTGAAGGCCTCAGGGCTTACACAGGTATTGGCTCTGCCATCCCTATCCCCATTCCATATGTCCCCTTCCTGGATGGAAAAGGGGAGGGTCACAGAGTAGGGTGGAGATGCCCATGGGACCTGGGATGGCCATGTGTTGGAGATGGCTATGGGACCAGGAGTAACCATGGGATGGGGATGGCCTGGGACCAGGGATAGCCATAGGATGGGGTTGACCATGAGTCCCAAGATGATGGGCATTAGACCAGGGATGACTGTGGGATGAATAATGATCTTGGACCAGGGATGGCCATGGGGTGGGTACAGCCATGGGACTGGGGACAGCTATGGGACATGGGATGGCCTGAGACCAGGGATGGCCGTGGCACATGGGATGGCCATGGGACTGGGGACTACTGTGGGACCAGGGACAGCTGTGGGATCAGAGAAAGTCTGGGACCAGTGATGGCCATGGGACCATGGGATGGGGATGGCCATGAGGCAGAGGTGACCATGAGACTGGGAACAGCCAAGGTGCAAGGGATGGCCTTGGGACCAGAGACAGCTGTGGTACCAGGGATAGCCATTGCCATGGGTCTGGGGACATCTGTGACACGGGGGATGGCCATGGCACATGGGATGGCCATGCGGTAGAGACAGCCGTGGGGTAGAGATGGCCATGGGACTGGGGACAGCTGTGGGATCAGACATGGTCTGGGACCAGTGATGGCCATGGGATGGGCACTGCCATTTGGTGGGGTGTCTGCCCCATCTCCTAGCCTTTCCCAACCCATCTCATCCCTCCCCTCTAGAAATGGGTCCTGCGGGAAATCTCCAACTTCGAGTACCTCATGCAGCTGAACACAATTGCAGGACGCACCTACAACGACCTCTCCCAGTACCCCGTGGTGAGCCCTGTGTCCTCCCCACCATCCCCCCAGTGATCCTGTGCCCCACCCCAGCCTTACCCACCTCCCACCCCACCCAGTTCCCCTGGATCCTGCGGGATTACGTCTCAGAGACCCTCGACCTCACCAACCCTTCCGTGTTTCGGGACCTGTCCAAGCCCATTGGGGTGGTCAATGAGCGCCACGCCCGGGATGTGAAGGAGAAGTGAGTACCCCAAAAAATGAGGGATGGGGGATGCAGGGAGTATCTGGCTGGCTACTGGTGGACCTCATCCCACCTCACCTCCAGGTATGAGAGCTTTGAGGACCCCACAGGCACCGTGGACAAGTTCCACTATGGCACACACTACTCCAATGCTGCGGGTGTCATGCACTACCTGATCCGCACTGAGCCCTTCACCACCCTCCACATCCAGCTGCAGAGTGGCAGGTGGGCACTCAGTGGGTGAACCCCAAGGAGGGGGCATCAGGGGGTACAAACAGCCTCCAACTAGATGTCCTGTGCCACTAGGTTTGACTGCTCTGACCGGCAGTTCCACTCAGTGCCAGCAGCGTGGCAAGCACGTATGGAGAACCCTGTGGATGTTAAGGAGCTCATCCCTGAGTTCTTCTACTTCCCTGAGTTCCTGGAGAACCAGAATGGTGAGGGACACCCACCATCCCTACCCACTGAAGCACAGTGGGTTCTGTGTCCCTCACCCCCTCCCTGCCTTGCCCACAGGCTTTGACCTGGGCTGCCTTCAGCTCTCCAACGAGAAAGTGGGTGACGTGGTGCTGCCACGGTGGGCACGCTCCCGTGAGGACTTCATCTACCAGCATCGCAAAGCCCTGGTGAGATGGTGGAGCTCCACCCCGGGGGTCATTAAGAGGGGTTGAGGGGCATTCCCAACCCACCCTGATGTCCCCTCCTTGGGTAGGAGTCAGAGTATGTCTCGGCTCATCTGCATGAGTGGATAGACCTCATTTTTGGGTACAAACAACGAGGCCCGGCTGCCGTGGAGGCCCTCAACGTCTTCTACTACTGCACCTATGAGGGTGAGCCATGGGGCATGGAGGTGTGGGGCACCTTCCAGGTGGCCCCCCCGTGACCATCCCCATCCCCAGGGGCCGTGGACCTGGATGCCATCGCAGATGAGACGCAACGGAAGGCTCTTGAGGGCATCATCAGCAACTTTGGGCAGACGCCCTGCCAGCTGCTCAAGGTAGCCCTGACCTCTGCCCCCAAAAAATAGCCCTTTTGGGGGTCACCCCCTGCTGATGGGGGTTCCTTCCACCCCCCAGGAGCCCCATCCTGCCCGGCTGTCAGCAGAGAGTGCTGCCCAGAGGCTTGCTCGCCTCGACACCCACTCCCCCAACATCTTTGAGAACCTGGACCAGCTCAAGTCCTTCTTCGTGGAGGTGAGGACAGCCCTGGGAGGTCCCTGGACAGAATTGGGAAGGGTGGAGTTGGCCAAGAGGGAGACCACCAGTTGCCATCTCCTCACAGGGAATCAGTGATGGGGTGGCCCTGGTGCAAGCTGTGGTCCCCAAGAACCAGGCGCACTCCTTCATCACTCAGGGATCTCCTGATGTTCTGGTGAGTGCAGGGAAACTGAGGCACGGGGGGTGTGCTGAGAGCCTTGGAGGTCCAGCACCAAACCAGGGAAGGCTCTAGTGGTGGGAGTGGTGTCACCTCCACCTCTACACAGGTCACCGTGAGTGCCAATGGCTTGTTGGGGACCCATAACTGGTTGCCTTATGACAAGAATATTTCCAACTACTTCAGCTTCACCAAAGACCCCACAGTCTCCAACACCAAGTGAGTCACTCAGGCATGTGGTGCCCAGAGTTGGTCCCTAGAGGTGCCACCAGTCCACCACCATCTTCTGTTCCTCCCCACCAGGACCCAGCGCTTCCTGCAGGGCCCCTTTGCCCCCGGTGTGGACCTCTGCTCCCGCACGCTGGCTGTGTCCCCTGATGGGAAGCTGCTCTTCAGTGGGGGACATTGGGACAACAGCCTCCGTGTCACCTCCCTGACCAAAGGGAAGGTCGTTGGGCACATCACTCGGCACATAGGTATGTTCTCCAGGTGATGATGATGATGGTGGTTCTGATGATGCCCTCATGGGGTTGTAGAGCCATGGGGGGAAGCAGAGGACATATAAGGGACATATCCCATTGTCTCTATCTTCTGGGGACAGTCCAGGTTCTGTCTCAGAGCTGCAGTAGGGTTAGAGCATCTCCACACCTCAAAACATGTCTCAGTGCCACCCCACAAAGCCAGAGTGCCCAGCATGGTAGAATGGGACCAGCACCTCATGGTGTCCCTCCATGTGTCACAGATGTTGTCACCTGCCTGGCACTTGACCTTTGTGGCATCTACCTCATTTCTGGATCCCGGGACACCACCTGCATGGTGTGGCAGGTCCTACAGCAGGTAAGGGGTTGACTGGGGGGAAGTTCATCTAGGGTGCTGCCACCAGGTTACTGATGTCCCCATGTCCCCAACACCAGGGTGGTTTCTCCAGCGGTTTGGCTCCCAAACCTGTCCAGGTCCTGTACGGCCATGATGCTGAGGTGACATGTGTGGCCATCAGCACCGAGCTGGACATGGCAGTGTCAGGCTCCAAGGTGAGCTGAGGCCACAGGGTGGGTGGTGGGCTGGGCAGTGCCACCATCATCACCTGTGTCCCCTTTTTCATGTAGGATGGCTCCATCATCATCCACACCATCCGCCGAGGGCTCTTTATCCGGTCCCTGCAGCCACCTGGCGAGAGCTCACCGCACACTGTCCTGTCCCACCTGGCTGTGGGACCAGAGGGGCAGGTGGTGGCCCAAACCACTGTGGATCAACAATCCTGCTTGAAGGTATGTCCAGGTGTCCCCATGTCCTCCTCCTGGTCGCACCAGCATGTGCTCCCCCCTGGTTGCTCTCTTTCAGGACAGGTTTGCTCTGCACCTCTACTCAGTGAATGGGAAGCACTTGTCCTCCGTCCCTCTGGACCAGGAGGTGACAGCCATGTGCTTGACTGAGGACTTTGTGGTGTTGGGGACCACACAGTGTGGGCTGGAGATCCGGGACCTCCAGAGGTGAGGGTTGTCATCTACTTTGTCCACCCCCTTGGATTGTCCAAGGGGTCCCATCCCACCATTCGTGTCTACAGCCTCAGGGCGGCCGTGCCCCCCGTGCCCATGCGGGTGCCCGTGCACAGTGTGTCCATCACCAAGGAGAAGAGTCACATCCTGGTGGGGCTGGAGGATGGAAAACTCATCGTGGTGGGCGCTGGGCAGCCTGCTGAGGTGAGTGAAACCCCCACCTAGGTGGGGTGGATGGAGAGGGGGGAGTGGCTTGGTGTCTGCTGAGTGCTCCTGGGCTGTGTTCCCTTCAGAGCTGAGGGGGACAGGGTGAGGAAGGCGATGTGGGATAGGGATGGAGATGGAGATGGAGAAAGGGATGAAGGTGTACATGGAGGTGGGCATGGGGATATGGATGGAGGGGGAGGGGGAGG